AGGTCATCGCCCGAATCAAGGATGGCTTTCTGACTGGCCTCAACCGTTATCTGGTCAATCGTCAGATTTACGAACGGGCCTGAGCCAGAGGCGAGACCGACACACTGGTCAGGGAGAGGATCGAGATGATGCGATGGACCAGGCGAGGTGTGGAATCGGGCATGTTCCTCGTTCTTTTCTATCGAATGAGAGCTATCCCCTTCAGATTGTAAAACACTCAGATCCTCACCCTGCCCACGCAACGCGCACTGCACCGCATGCTCTGCGCTGAGGCTTTCGGCGCCCGACATTTCGATGGGGATGTGGCCCAACAACTTTTCCATCTCAAGGTATACGTCGATCGACGACTGAAAGCCAGGGTGCACCGACGCCAACTCAGGTGGTCCCTCGGCGCAAGTTTTGGCTGGGTCATACCTTCCGCCCGAGGGTTGTTCTCTGGATCTTGTCACTGACTGAACCGATGAATCCCCTTCGGCCAAGTCAAACACAGTCTCTGATACTTTCTTGCTTGGAAGGTTGAAAGGATTTTGTCGCCTCGTTGAGGCGCCTACATTTTCGTTACGCTCGGAAGGGTTTCGGTCTCCTGTTCGTCCGAGCGCTCCTTCTTGCGATCCCATGCTCTGCGAAGCTAACGGCTGCGCCGTCGTCTCGGCTGAACCAATCTTTTGCCTGGATAGTCATAATCCCTGCAAGATGTTCCGATAATATATCATGGTCAGTGGGCTCCGCAGATGACATGGGGAAGAATGGATAATGCCGTCAAGCATACACTAAGGTAACACTGAAGGGAGAAGGCCGGCCCGCTGGCCGACGCACGCGCGCGCGCACCGCAGGTTCGCTCCTTTTCCGTTCCCTAGAGCCGAAGTAGTACAGCTGCGGAAGCAGAAGTGGTCAGTCAGCACGGCGGGCAGGCAGCGCGCGCAAGGAGAGAGAGCAGGCATGGCGAAAGATTGGCGGTGCGGAAGTGGTGCGTTGACTGCCCCCCCCATGAGACGACGGGGCCGTGGTTCTGGGCCCGCCCCTGGCCTACTCGTGGGCGCCTCGTGGGCCGTCTTGGGACAATAATGGGGGCCTCTGGGTCGTCGTCAGGGCCGCGAAAACCGAAAAAACTGATATGCTAATAATGCACGCTTTCGCCAGGGAAACCAATGATTTTGGACGGTTGGGGCCCCGTGGGGGCGTCCTGGCGGCGCGTACGGCTCTCTGAGAGGTATCTCGGGCGTCTTGGGGCCATCTGTCGGCGACCAATGGCCGTCCGGGGGCTGCCTGGGCCTTCTCCCGAACGGCTCCGGCGAGCCGTGGACCCCATGTCCCATCGAGGCGCCGGCCGTGGAGGCCCCAACCCTGTACCCTGGTATGTATGTGTGCGTGTAAATGTATGTGCATCTATATATAGAGAGAGATGTAACGTGAATACATGCATACATGCATGCATATTTTTCCCCCGCTACTATCTCTGGCGAGAATGGGTTTTTCGACAAGCGTTCAATTATAGGAAATTACAGCTGAGCTTGTAGGAAGACGCTCGCGAGGCGCATGTCTGCAATCGCGGCGCCCTTCAGGTCGACACGCTGCCGGGAAAGCAGACTTGTTAAAGCGAGCGCGCACTCCCGCGCGGCAGCCACCCCGGCGAAAGTGCTGGACTCGGCGCCGCAAAAGCGAGACATGCATGCGAAGGCTGTCCACTGGGAGTCGGTCCTTCCCCAGATGACCCAGCCAGCTCCGGCGAGCCCTGCCCGACTTCCTCCGTCAAACTGCGCGTGCAGTTGTCCAGGCACAGGACTGCGGTCACTAATCAGAGCACCGCCAGTATACAGGCACGAGCTCTTCCTTTCGATGGGTGCTGTGGCGATGGCATCCGCCACCTTGTTGCGCTCCCTGTAGCAGTGTGAAAAGTAATCAGAAGAAGGCGCCCGTGGACCACACCTCAGGGTAGTGAACCATTTGTGCATGCATTTCTGTGCCTCTGCGATCGGCGCCCGGCACTGGTTGTCGTCTACCTTCCACACACCGCGCATCCAATTGATCACGAGCTCAGAGTCCCCGAAAACCACCACCGTGACGCGTGACGAACACTCGGGCGCCCAGGCGACGTCCAAGGGGGGAAAGATCGCGCGGGCGACGTCCTCCGAAACTGCCGGGCACCAGCGCGGATGATCTTCTGGAAGGAGCGGTCTGATCAAGCTCGGCCAATCCCGCGGCTGTGAAAGATACAATTTGTTGTACGAGCTTCCGTGCTTGGAGGCGGTCCACAGAGCGCAATTCCGCGTTTCTCCACGTCTCGCCCCACACATGGATTGGCAATTCGTCCCACATTATCGGTCGAGTATACCCGGTTTCGTGCTTCCAGTGGTGGAGACCTCGCGGATCCGCCTGCCTTCCAACGGATTGGGTCTTGCGCCAGCTGAGGGCGCCCCTCCAGTCCGCCACGGCTGGGAGGAACCGTCTGGCCGCCGCGGTAAAGGACGACGGTTGCAGGTGGACGAGAGAGCGGACAGACAACGATGTATGCTCTTGAGAACAAGCTCCTCTATCAACGGAAAGCCGCACTTGAGGTACCGTCTGCGGCATTGCCCGGTGGCCGTCTTGCAGAAGTCTGCCAAGGTGACGCCTGGTCGCCGTTGCGGCCTGCATATGAGTCGTAACACATGCCCTTCCCAGCCCCGGAGGGTAGAGAACATTTGCTTTGTCCAGGGCCAAGACCCGACACCATAAATTGCAATAGGCACGATTATTTCCCGATAGTGTTGCAACCTCTTCCGGAGTGAAATGGCGCGGCATCGATAATATCCGGCGTCGCGCCAGAAAGCCCTCCACGCCTGAGACAAGCGATGCTGCAAAATATCGAGCGGCCTACCGCTCATTGTAATGAGCATGCCCAGGAACTCTACATCACACACCTGCGGGATCGTCGTCGGCACCCCGCAGTCGACGACGCGCACGTTCTCTCGGGGCTCGCTTGGGCGGGCCGTTGTGAGCCACTTCGAATCCCCCGGCTTCCAGTTCAGGCCGTGGCGGGCGAAGGAGCCCGTCAAATCTTGGGGCATAACGGAAAGCTCCCCCGCAGACTTGGCCAGCAAGATGATGTTATCTGCCCAGACGAGATGCGCGAATGCAAACTTGCGCATCCAAGACGGGCCCCTCGGAGCGCACTGGCGGCGCTGGTGAGCAAGCGGCGCGCCATCGCCCCTTACTTCCATCAAGCAGAAACCAAATCCTCGAGATAACCACTGGGCGTGAAGATCCTTCAGCACCAGATGCATTGCAGAGTTCCACGCGGACGTTGTCTCGGCACCGCCTTGCCTTCCAGACCGGTTGAAGTTGATCTCTATACCATCCGTCGCCATTCCAGGGAATATTGGATGGAGCAGCCCACCCATGTTCTCACGCATAATGGCCCGGACGAGCTGCGGGTGCAAGCCCCAGGCCAGGAGCGCTGGGACCACCAGGCGGATAGGCGACAGCATGTCGAAGGCCGCCTCAACGTCACCAACGAAGATGTATAGAGGGAACGCGGCTCGCCACTCACGGGACCTTTCGACCAGCAGCTGCAGAGAACATGCTATATCTTCAACCCCGAGTCCGGGCTCGAAGCCAAATATCGCCGCCAGGACTCGACCAGGGCCTCGTCCACAGCGTAATAGCGCATGGAGAACAGATGGTGGATGAGAATGCAGACGGCGATAGGTAAAGCTTTGATCATCTCCATCACGATAATGCCCCCTCCTCCCCCAGCCTTCCCCGCCCGAAGCTTCCCTCTAGCCTGCATCAGAACGTCGAAAGTGTACTCCGGGGCCTGGATCCCGTCTATCTTGTTGCTGTTTGCTACCGATTTTAGACGCTCTAACTCCTTCCGCTCCTCCTCCTCCCGGATGCTGTCATCGTGGTACTTTGTTCTGCAATGAGAAATGAGACCATTTTTCCAAATGCTCCTGTCGGACGTCTTCTCTCCGTCGATTGAGAGCTGTTGCACCGGCCTGCGAACCTTTCGAGCGTCCAGCGCCATCCTCGCCTTCCAGGTTCGGCGGGCCCGCCTAGCCTGTTTCCGGAGCTCTCGTCGCTCTCCCGGGCGCCCACACTCGCGGGCGCGACGATCAAGATCACGGAGAAGAGGAGGTTTGGAGTGAAGATTGCGATGTTTGACACTGTTCGCAACGAAAACAATGTTCAGGGCACTTTCCTCAATGATGGTCTCAACGAGGGGGATGTCGTAACGGCGCTGTCGGGTACACAATTCCAAGCAGGAATTGCGTTCCCCCTGGTCCTGAGAGTTCGACTGCCCCAGGAAGGTCGGAACTGGTGCATCGAAGTCGCCCGGAACCTCTAGCCCCAGTTTCCCCACCACCGACTCCTGGAAAACCTGCATGTCAGAATCGGAACACGGCTGCCACCCAGAATAACTCCGTCCTGAAACCACTCTCTCCAGACCCAAAGTTCGAGCACTGACATATTCAATAATAGGAAAATGATCGCTTTCAAGAGTTGGGGACTGGTTGAGGGCGAACCCGGAGGACAGCAAGTCGCGGCTGACTGCCACGTGATCGATCTGAGACCAACGTTTGGTACTACGGTGTCTGTGAGTGCATGAGTTCTGGGTGGGTCTGAATGCGGAGGCCACCCAGAGGCCGAAATCCTGGAAATACTGCATCAAATATCCGCGCCGCACGCCGGCATCGGAAGACTGGTGATGCCTCATGGCGGTGTCCGGGCCGGTGGTCCCCTCCACGTCGCTCTCAAGATCGACTTGGCCGTCCATGCCAACGACAAACCTCGTGGCACCGTGTTTGCGGAGCTCCTCGGTGGGCCCCCGAAGCTCCGTAATTCCCTCGACGTAGACGTCGATACTAAGCCAAGAATTCGGTAGATAGGACGAGATGAGCCCCACGGAGCCCAGCACGACTCCTGCACATCTATCCTTGCACGCCGACCGCAGCGTATCCACATGCATCATGGTGAAACTGGTGTTGTCTGGTCGTGTATTCTGCTGGCCAGGACTCCACCTCTTGGAACAAGAGCACAGACACTTTGTACGGTGCCTCTTCCAAAACGTCTTCGACTTTGCCGGCTGCCATCTTGCCAACGTTCCACGACACCACCGGTATTGTGGAGATCCCTTTGACCAGCTGCCTGGGGCGCCCTCGCGCCAGGCGTTGACTTCAGCGGAGCTTCGCGGAGAGGTCGTCCTTAGACATCTTTGGGGGGAACTCCGACAGCACCTCCGGCACGATAGTCCAACCCGATCCGTCGCGAAAGCTGGCCAGCAGACGAGACCGATGCGAACCGTGGAAGTTCTTCATGTAGACCTTAAGCGGGACGCCCTGCCACTCGATCTTGTAGGAATCCGTGCTCTTGCCGTTCGAATTCATCACGCCCATGAACCTGCCGCCGGCCCTCCGGTAAGGCTTGCGATCTGGAGCCGCCTCCACGGTCACCTGGGGCGTGCTGCCGCGGACTTTCAGACTGTGTTGCGATATGACGTTCGTGACCGCATTGCGGAGGTTCCAGGCCGCCTCCGGGTCGAGAGTGGGCGTCTTCAGGATGATATAGATATTCGTGTTCAGCTCGTTCCTGGCGTTCTTCTCGTTGCTGGCCTTCACGTCGATAGTGTCCGTGATGTTGGACTCCAGGTGTGTGGCGATGGTGTTCGGCAGGTCCTGGCACTCCTGCTCGGTGGCGCAAGTCTCGTCATTGGGCACGCCATCCTCGGAGAACTCGGCGAAACCCTTGATTTCCACGTGCTTCGCAACGAAATTCTGTTTGGAGCGACTTGTGCTGCTGGACCCCGGTGCCGAGCCTGAGGTAGAGGAAGGTGAAGCGGAGCGCTTGATGGCCGCAATCTCCGTCATGACCTCCCTCTTCAGCGTCTCGATCTTGGCGTCCGTCCTCTTCTCGCTCTCCGTGATTTGGCTTGTGAACATTTGGGCCTGCTCCTTCAGCAGCTTCGGCAAGCGCTCCTCATCCCACTTTTTGTCGCTCTGCTCCAATGCTTTCTGGGCTCCCCGTTGCGAGCTCGCATCCAGCAGATCCGTGAGGGTCGATCCGAGACGCCTGCGTTTATCTTCGTCCAGACAATAATCGAGAAGCATGCGATCCATGGTGTAAGAATGACGGGTCGACTGCTCACTCAGGTGAAACGAAAAATCTCAAGCCTTGGGCCTTGGGCCTTGAGCCTGGCCTTGGGCATGCATACATACATACACGTGTATACATATACATATATACACACCTATATACCTACATACGTATATTACATACATGCATACAAATATTATATACATACATGCATGCATGTATGCTTGCATACATGCAAACGTACGACATACATATATACATACATGCATACATGCATGCATGCATGCATACATACATTCACACATACATACATAAATACACGTGTAAAAAATGCATACGTACGCACGTACATGCATACATATATGCATGCATACATACATGCATACATCTATATATACACATACATACATACGTACATACATACATAGACTACATACATACATTCATACATTCATACGTACATACATACATATATGCATGCATACACACCTACATGCATGCATGCCTGCGTGCGTGCGTGCATGCATGCATGTATAATACATACATACATACATACATACATGCATGCATCCATGCATCCACGCATGCATGCATGACCATATACAGACATATATACATACATATATGCATATATACATACACACATGCATACATACACATGTATGTACATGCACGCATACATACATACATACATGCGTACATACCTTTATATATACATACATGGGTGCCTACACGCATACATACATAACATACATACATAGATACATGCATACATACGTGCATACATACATGTATGCATCCATATATATATATGTATATATACATACATGCATGCATGCATGCATACATACATATACATTTACATATACATATACATATACATCCGTACATCCATACATATATTACATACATATATTACATAAACTACATGCATGCATGCATGTATACGTGCATGCATACGTACGGCATACAAACATGCAGCCATACAAACATGCATGCATGCATGCATACACACATGCATACATGCATGCGTATATAAAACATACATACATACATACATACATACGTACATACATAGATACATACATACATACATACATAAATATGGTCGATCCCCCCCCCCCCCCCAGCGACCCCCCAGAGCGCCCAAAGCACGAATACACAACTCAACTTTGGCCTGCCATCCAGGCTGACGAACTCATCCGCTCGGCCCATCCGTCACGGGCACCGTGCGCGCAAGCATATCGGCTTCGGCCGAGGCCACGAAACACTGTGTATCACAGGTTGTTCTGGTTTTTCTGGTCTGGGAACCAACGAAACACTGCGTATCACAGGTTTTTCTGGTTTTTCTGGTTTCTGGAGCTGAAATGCTCGCCGCGGCCTCGCCCCACCGCTCCCCCACCTCCTGTTTGTCGGCACCTGAAAACCAGAAAAACCAGAAAAACCTGTGATATACAATGTTTCGTTGGCTCCCAGACCAGAAAAAACAGAAAAAACCTGTGATACACAGTGTTTCGTGGCCTCCGATCAAGGCTCTGGTTCTGGTTCTGGCTCTGGTTCTGGCTCTGGTTCTGGCTCTGGTTCTGGTTCTGGTTCTGGCTCTGGTTCTGGTTCTGGTTCTGGCTCTGGTTCTGGCTATGGTTCTGGTTCTGGTTCTGGCTTTGGTTCTGGTTCTGGTTCTGGCTCCTACCAGTGGTTGTACTGGCACAGGGGCGAGGATTTGTGGCTGGCAACAGGGAAGATGCTGGAGGAGGCCTTCCTCAAGGAGCACTGCCAGTGAGCGGCGAGCGCTGTAGTCCCCGAAGAGTACACAGTGTTTTCTTGCTCGGAGGCCACGAAACACTGTGTATCACAGGTTGTTCTGGTTTTCCTGGTCTGGGAACCAACGAAACATTGTATATCACCGGTTTTTCTGGTTTTTCTGGTTTTCTGGTGCCGACAAACAGGAGGCGGGGGAGCGGTGGGGCGAAGCCGCGGCGAGCATTTCAGCTCCAGAAACCAGAAAAAACCAGAAAAACATGTGATACGCAGTGTTTCGTTGGTTCCCAGACCAGAAAAACCAGAAAAACCTGTGATACACAGTGTTTCGTGGCCTCGGCCGAAACCGATATGCTTGCGCGCACGGTGCCCGTGACGGATGGGCCGAGCGGATGAGTTCGTCAGCCTGGATGGCAGGCCAAAGTTGAGTTCTCCAACAGGGAGAGGACCAGGTGGAAGAACAGAAGGTGGAGGACGAGTGAGGAGGGAGGAGGAGGACGAGTAACAGGAGAAGCAGGAGGCGAGGGGGGAGATGGAAGAGGAGGGGGAGGATGAGGGAGAGTAAGATGAGGAGGAATACTTCTCGGGTCACAGCCCGCTGTGACAGACCACGTGTCTGCGGCTGTTCGGTGCCAGCATCTCAAGACCGCGGCTTCGTGTTTTGGGCGTTTTGGGGGGTCGCTGGGGGGGGACCGAGCATAAATATATACATGCATACATACATACATGCATACATACATACATGCATACATGTATGAGTGCATGCATGCATGAATGCATGCATATATACATACATACATACATGCATGCATGTATACATACATACATACAGACAGACACACACATACACACATACACACATACACACATACGCACATACATCCATGCATACATACATACATACATGCATGCATACATGCATACATACATGCATGCACACGTGCATACCTGCATGCATGCATGTATGCATACATGCATGAATACAAACATACAGATCTGCGTACATACATACATGCATGCATGCATACATACATGCATACCGACAAACAGACAGACAGACAGACAGACAGACAGACAGACAGACGGCGGACGGACAGGCAGACAGACAGACATGCATATAATTACATATTATATGTCCGTGCGCACAAATGGATAGATATATTTAGAGAGAGAGAAAGAGAAAAGCAAGGAGGGAGAGGGACGGAATATACGCACATATAGCTATGACCATGCAACACAAGGATGATAGATCAGCACTATAGCAAGAAAGAGAAAGAGGAAACAACAGAACAGCGAGAGAGAGAGAGAGGGAGAGAGAAAGAGGGAGAGAGACAGAGAGCCTGGGGGGCGCAAAAGGGGCTCAAAATTACAGGTACCGCCAAGATCATTATGATCCTCATGCGGGCACACCTCGCAATCGGCTGCACGGAGCCAGGATCCCGCAACTGCTCAACGAAACAGCCTAGCCCGCCTCTGATATTGCATTGCTGGTATGGGAAGCGGTGGTGGTAGCGATTTGGAACTAGACTTCGAGTGAGGACGCATATTGAGCTGATGAGTTTTACAGAAACGTGTGCGCAGAAACAGATTAAGCGCGCCCCTGCATGCGAGCGTGGGCGCACAGCAGCGTTATTCGCACGGCTGGCCACAGCAGCACTACTGCACACTCGAGTTCAAAGTGGGGTGTGTTGGTAACTCATTGCTGGTAGGGACGCGCGCGTACGACAGCGCACCATGATGTGTTTGTTATCCTGACACCCGACACCCTTGTGGACTTGAGCTGACTTGTTCCCCAAACTATTCTGCGGTGTTGGGTCGTCGGTGTGAGACAGCGCCGCACGTCTCACTCCTTCCTCCTCGCCGCCCCTCCTCCCTCCTCCAATCCGTGCCTCTGCCCTCCGTTTGTCAATCATTACGGCACACCCGTCGCACGGTACGTGGCCCCATAAGGAGCTCCACCGAAGGCCCCAGAGACCACGTTCGCATGCGGCTTCCAGCCCACCGCATGTTCGTTTCGACATACACCTCACACGCCTCGTGGCCCCACCGGAAGCTCCAGCGAAGGCCCCAGAGGCCACGTTCGCATGCGCGACCCCCCCCCCGCCCACCGCATGTCCATATCGGCAAACACACCACGCGCTTCGTGGCCACATGGGGAGCTCCACCGAAGGCCCGAGAGGCTGCTTTAGCATGCGGCGCCCCGCTCACCTCATGCACATTTCGGCACACCCCGCACACGCTTCGTGGCGTCATATAGAGAGCTGCACGGAAGGCCCCAGAGGCCACGTTCGCAAGCAGCCCCCCCCGCCCACCGCATGTCCGCTTCGACACGTCCCTCACACGCATAGTGGCCCCATGGCGAGCTCCACCGTATGCCCCAGGGCCGCGTTCTCATGCGGTCCCCCGGCCACCGCATGCCCATTTCGGCGCACCCCTCACAAGCTTCGTGGCCCCATAGGCAGCTCCACCGAAGGCCCCAGCGGCCGCGTTCGCATGCCGCACCCCGTCCACCGCATGTCTATGTCAGCACACCCCTCACACGCTTCGTGGCCCCATAAGGAGCTCCACCGAAGGCCCCGTAGGCAGCGTTCGCATGCGGGTCCCCGCTCACCGCGTGTCCATTTCCACACACCCCTCACACGCTTCGTGGCCGCAAAGGGGGCTCCACCGAAGGCCCCAGAGGCTGCTTTCGTATGCGGCGCCCCGCCCACCGAATGTCCGTTTCGGCACTTTCATCACGCGCTTCGTGGCCACATGGGGAGCTCCACCGAAGGCCCGAGAGGCTGCTTTCGCATGTGGAGGTCACGCCTGTTTCGGAACACCCCTCAAACGCTTCGTGGCTCCATAGGGAGCTCCGCCGAGGTCCCAGAGGGACCGTTGGCATGTGGGCGTCACGCCCGCTTCGGCACACCACTCACACACTTCGTGGCCTCAGAGGGAGCTCTTCCGGAGGCCCCAGAGGGAGCGTTCGCATGTGGGCGTCACGCCCGTCTCCGCACACCCATCACACGTTTCGTGGCCTCACAGGGGGCTCTACCAAAGGCCCTAGAGGCCGCGTTCACATGTGCGCCCGTGTCGGCCCGCCGCTCACGCACGCTTCGTGGCCCCAAAGATCCACCGAAAGCCCCTGGGGGAGATTTCGCATGTGAGCGTCACGCCC